TTGAATTTTCTTCCTTCTGCAGACGATTCTGATCCACTAGAAATAGATAGGCCTAGTTTTTCTCAATGATGAATGAATTACCCTTGTTATTGATGTTAATTAGTAATGGTAGAAGAAGAAGATACATAAAATGAACGTCGGGATGGTGTTAGTACTATTACTAGTATTATCAAGAGTCGACAGAAACGTTGGAAGCTATGCCTAGTTTAGTAGTAGTAAAAGTAGTACAGCAGTTGTTAAGGGCATTGATTGCTTCGAATGTTTACTGTAATGATGAGTTCAACAGTCCATCTGTGACAGGGGTTCTCAACTAGGCCTAGGCTAGACCTATATCGCAGTAGGGGAAAAAATGATTCATTGAATAAACAGTGAATAAATTTTACACGACCTTGGCATTACCTTACAGACGCGTGTGAATGCTTTTTATCTCGGTAGGAATAACTCAGAGATCAATTTGTTACTTTTTGTTAAATTTAACTTCATGTGTGAATCGGGTATTACAGTACTTTATGTAGAGCAGTAGTTCTCAAATTTCCAGACAATTTGCCACAACCCACTTCCCGGGACATTAAAAAAACGATACTCAAAATAGGTCAGTAACTTGTAAACAAAATTTTTAAAAAAAGAAGTAAAATGTTTAAATAATACTTATAATACATTTTCTTTACTACAGCAAAATGTAACATGATATAAAATTCAATTAAGAAAAAATCCTAGTCACATGATCCTATATTGCAACTCATAGTTTCAGAACTACTGATGTTGAGCACCATGGGATCTGTATGTTGTGTTTATAAAAAAAAAAAATGGGCGTTTGTCTTGTGTTTATAAAAAAAAAATGTTTCAGGGCCTACAATGGAAAGCAGTGTCTAAAAGTGATTTGTTGCCCGCATTCAAATGATTAAAAAAAAAATTAATTAGTCAATCAATCATCTCTAGACTGGCTTTTTAAAAAGTATTCAGTGTAAATGAAGACTGGAATAACTCAGGAAGCTTTACCTTTTGAACCCTTTTGCCTCTATTGAAACCACAAATTAATAATAAAAAATTACTTAACAATTGTTGGAAATGCTTGTCACTCAGTGATACAGCACATGGTCTGTGATGTCATCACTGATCTATTCAACGGAAGTTGTCATCAGAGAGTAAATCATTTTTTTATGTACCTTTCAAATTCTGAAATCCGATGTAAAGAATTTTGTAAGATGGATTTAATAAGAGTCCTATTTTATTGTAATCTTGTGTTGGAAGATCTCAGTAGAGCACAGGGAGCAATAACTTGATTTGAGTGGCTAAAGTATTAATCTTTAATGCAAATTTCAATACTTCTATATCTCTTTAATAAGAAAGATATAAAACTATTAAAAATCATATACATCATGATAAAACAAATCATTTGTTGTTCTATGTCAAATAATATCTACTTTGTGATACAAAATCTGATTAAATGCTTCTTGAGTCTGACAAACCATTTAATCTGATTCTAGCATTCATTTTTCTTTTCTACAATCTGTTCCATTTTCTGATTTTGTTTTATTTATATTATATACATATCCAAAATATATTGATTACTGGTTTGTATAAACTCGCCAAAAGTGTTTTCACCGCAATCGTTACACTGCGTGGCTGCCCCGATGTAATTGTAAATGCTTCCTGATTTTACCTACCAATCAGCATTGCAAAAAGCTATCAGTGATAGCATGTAGTGATTTTATGAAAAGTACATATAGCAGATAGCATGATGTCAATTTCAGAATGAAATGAATATTATACATATCTTTCAGGTGAGATTATGATCAATTTGCTATGGTACTATCGCCCTGAACATACGGAAACTGGACGGCGTCCTCAGCATTTGGAGGTAAACGAGTCACTTGTACTATTAGAACAAATTTTAGTTGATTAAATGCAATGGTCAATATATTTATTTATTTCCATTTATTAATTTATTGCTTTAGTTTATCTTGTGGTCATCTGATCTACTGATTATCCCTGAGAACTAGTTAATTATAGACCATGTTTACACAACAGAAATGTTGGTTAATGATGATTTGCGATCGGTTTCAGTCAAATGTATCCTTTTACGTTAAATGATTGACTTGAAAAGCAAATAAGTCAAAATCAAATTACAAATTATTTGTGCTGTAGTAAACAGGGTAAACTACTGTCAAGAGAATAATAAATAATAATAATTTTTTTTGGCAGCATATGAATATCATGCCTTTGTCATTAATATGAGTATGCATTCATCCTACTATACTTTATACTACTATAAATTTAAACATCCTGATATTTTCATTCTTGAATAGCTGTGAGACACTGTCGCAGTTAAATCTGTTGTACTCACTAAAAAAACCTTTAGAATGCAATGTAGGCCTATTCATAACATATCACTTGCGTTGGAAAACCGCATTTAATTCTTGAATATATAATTTACTCGCATCATCATTATGTAAATCTAAATCATGAAAATTCATAGGAAAATTAATATCTGTTGTACTCATTGCCTTTGGAATGCAATGTCTGAACATCAGCCTGATGGAAAAGCACATTTACTACATGGACAAGTAAATGATTATGATATTATTATGCAAATCTTCATATACGCTTTGTCCAACTTTTTCTTGATCAGCTATTGACCAATTCATGTACATTTGTTGCATACTCAGTTGCATTTAGTAAGCAATATACTTTACTTATGATATATGATAATACTTATTTTTTTGTAAGCTCATTAAATAAATGAATATGTAAATGATGATGATGATGATGATGATGGTCATCATTTAATGTTATGAATATTTTTTTTTTCTGAGTACATGCTCATAATATTGTTCAACCATATATCGATTAGCTATTGACCAACATGTAATTTGTTATTCTATAGCTGTATATTTTCTCTTTGAGAGAGGAGGTTTAGATAATTAATTATTGAATTTTCTTTAGTTCTGAAGTTGACCACTCTTTTCTTTGGACAACGGCATATGAAAAAAGAAAAACTATGTATAGGAATTTATTCTTTGTTGTATTAAAATAAACTTTATTCTACACTTTTTATATGTATTTTTATTTTTATATTTATCACGTTTTTGTTCCTTTTCGTGTGAACCAACAATCAACGGTCTTTGGACTGTCTATAATTCCTTATTTTGAATCAGTTGATGAACAGACTATTTTTATCTGTGTTTCATAATGATGTTTGATGTTTTTTCATTGCTGGCAAAGAGAAATTGCTTTTTGGCATGTAGTTTAATATAATGTCAAAAATTTAAATTGGAAACGATAGACAAACTCGGCCTAAAAATACATTATCATGGTTAATTTGTTATCTTATAAGATATATGTTTGATATTGTAACACATCTTTTTTGGTATTTTCTCTTAGAATGAGTTATTTGCGTGTAAGCACTATGATACGAACAGTGTAGCCTGCGTGGAAGACAAATGTTACGTGCTAACTCTGGGAGAATATTGCAGGTGAATCTTAAATATCATTGTATGTCATTTATACTGTCCATATTGGGACTTGTAGAAATGACAATTGCGTAAGGTCACCCATACATTATTCCTAAGTAAAAGTGCAAACATGCGTCAATATTTTGTGGGAAAAAGGAACAGAGATTTTCATAATGTACAAACTATATCATGATCTCTCAAAAGGGAGAGGTTGACACAGCGGTTGTGTTTCGGACCTTGAGGTCAGAGGTTCGAACCTACGCTTTGAATTTCGCTTGTGTCATTGGGCAAGGCACTTTACCTACGTTTGCCTCTCTCCACCCAGTAGTATAAATGAGTACATGATAGGATGATGTGGCATTGAACGTATTAGTCTGTGTCAGTATTAAATTGCAAGCGTAACTAGAATGCTCCCCAGGGAGGGAAGAAGGTGGCAATTCTGTGAGGTTTTTTGCCAGTTTATAGATCCAATGACCAGTTGTAATAATTAAACATCACCTGTGCCTTGCATCCCTAAGGCAAAAGGTGCAGTATAAATCCCTATATTATTGTTATTAATGGATCTTTCCGCTAAGCCCCGCCCATTGGATATCGTTGCTAAGGTCCCAGAAGACGACAATATTAAAACATACGCAAACACGTGCGTTTGTGGGACAACACGTGTGTTTGTGAGACGCGCGCGTATTTCTAGCGTTGTTCTGATTAGTCAGTTGTTAAGTTTGATTGGCACTCCGGAAAGGTCTATTAACTATGAAAGCTAAGGTTCAGAGCCATGGCTTTCTGGTAGTTTACCTGAGAATGGTGGTATAAAATGAGACATAATCTTACACCGCCATGACCTGAGATCCTTCACTTGATAAGGGGCTCTGCCAAAATCATTGGAAACCCCCATGATTGCGGGGAACATGCTGTACACTGCAATGGGCTAAAGACAATTTAAATAGCATTATGAACGGCTCATTAAAAGATTGTTCATTGAAAGTGAAAGTTAGATGGATTTAGATTCAGCTAAAATGAAAGTTATAAAAATATGCACAAAGCTGAATTAGTCAAAATACAAAGAATTTACATTAAACACTGAAATGTATAGAGAAAAATGATAAGAGTAATTTGACATGCGATTGATATTTTTAATTTCTTCATTGATAATTACAATTTTAAGTTGCGCATAATATATAGGTCCAGTTGCAAATAACAGAAAAACAAAAATGCGGTATAAAATGATGGAGATATGAAATTGTTAAGTGAAAGCTAAAATGTTAACTAACGTAAACAGAGCTTTGACTAGTTGTGATGTGCGTTTATTAATTGATTTATTGAATTATCTGTTTGCAGATATAAATGTCAGTTAAAAATGCGACAAGAAGGCATCAAGAGAAGTCGTATATGTGTTCCTGAACTTTTCGAGGGTTATCATCGGTCTGGCCATCTTCCCCCGATGGATGTCGACCCCTCATGTGTCTTTCTTTGTCGTCAAGTCTATGATTTCCGACAGAAGCGCATTTTGAAGAATCCACAGTGAAAAAAACCTGTTTTGCATTTACTATCACCCATTCAGGAGTTACAGTTACAATAATAAACTACAAACATCCTTTTCTGATACTCCAAAGTGATGAAGAATACTTGGTCAAGTTAGTGATAACACCTGACCCATTACACTGAAGTGGTGGAGTGTGACTACCAGATTAACTCTTGTATTTAGATCTTTAGCTCCTTCGATATCAGTATGAATCTGCCCAGAATTGTGTTGTAATGTTCTTTAAACAAACAGAAACAGGATTTTTTGAAAGGTAGCTCTTAATATTAAAAGCCTTTTCCTTATGTTTCATGTGTACAATAGTTATATATCTTATATCAAGCAGATTTAAATCATGACCACATATTTTGAAGTGAGGGTTTGTGTGGAAAATACATTCCAGATGTTGCATTAAAGTGCTTCAAGATTATTCTAAAGATATTACAAGTTATATATATTATATATAGTCATCATATTATGTTTTTGGCCTTTTGTTTTGGGCTTGTTGTTTTGGGCCAGGTGTTTTAGGCCGTGCGTTTCTTTTTAGATTTCATATTTATTGGCAACACAAGACGTATATAACAGTTGTTGTAGATAATTTACACTTTCGTTACATTACTGTATATTTTCAATCTGTTTATTGTTACCTTAAATGATCCAGGAAGTGCCGCAGTGCTTATTCACATTTTTGTAGGCTTAAGTGCAGTGCTTATTTTAATGGTGGCACTTATTAGAAACTATTGAAATACTGTACTGTGGGTTATGCATAGGCCTCTCTGACTTGTTAAAATGTTAGTCTGTGAGAAGTCAGTTGTTTTACGTTCAAAGCATTTTGGGTAATATGCACTCTCGTTTAAGCATTGCAACGCTTATTAGAAATAGAATATAATATCACTAATAAAGCGCTGTGGTGCTTAGTGAAATAAATCATGTTTGTTTCATTGCTTTTTTTTTAAGATGACTGTGAGCATACTCGATCATTTATGGTACATTTGGAAGTATATTAATGATATCAAAATTGTTTTTCTGCAGTCATTGTTTTATTGTTTAGCACCCTCTGTTGTCCAGTTAATTTTGAAATTGAATCGCATATCTATAAATGTTGTTGATAATACATAGTTAAGAAGATTTCACCTTAAAGTCATCAATCCCTCCACCCCCTTCCCTTATTATTAATAGGATGATCAAATTCTCTGCTGTATTTGGTTACTTAAGCCATGTAGCTATGTTAAGAACATCCGCCATATGTGTTAATCTTATTTGTAACAAAATCATGTCTTAATTAAAGAAACATCTTAAGTTACATTCCCTTAAACATTTATTTGATAGGTCGTTGACATTCATGGGGTTAAACATTCATCATTAAAGTAAAAGCAATGTGATAGTTTATGTTGTGGATATTATAGCCTGATCCATTATTTTTAGGGATGTTTACTGCTCTAAGAGCACAGAATATTTGTCTGGTTATCACAGCACAGTCATAATCTTCAAAAACCATAATTGATTTGTATTATTTAGGTGTTCATATAAAACATATACCACCATCATATAACATGTACAGTTTATCTGTAAAGTATGATATTAGTAATCACAAATCAACATCTTTTTAAATCAAAGTTCCAAAACAAATCTGTTTAAATAATCATTGACGTAAATTCAGTTAATTCTGAGAGCTAAGTAATACTATTTTTTTTCAGTTTAATGTACAGAGATGATTTAGAGTGTAATTTTATTGCCAAAGATATGGATACTATTTGTCATCCAAGATACAGTTAGATAAGCCAATAAGATGTTCACGTCAATCTGGAGTGATTTGTCATTTTTACAATTTATCTCTGACATTTCAATTACAGTAGTTGTTCGTGATATTAATTAAGAATTATGAATGAATGATGAACTAAAGTTCAACATCAGAATTAATATTGTATTAAATTTTCACCTCACTGTTAAAGGTTTTGCCAAACACACATTTGTTTGTATTCTTATGTTTATTTATAATATGACAGCCTGTATCCCCTTATCACTTTGTCAATTTAAAATATGATAATTTTTCACCCAGATTGTTTGCTGCATATGAGAATTTAAGTTGTTTAGAGATGTCTTTATCAGTTTGAAATATTTTTGCTTTATTCAAATCTGCACTATACACAAGGCCTATAAGTTATTATTTTGTGCACATGGGTATGGGTGTGTGTCTGTTGATACTATTGTACTCTATCTGTGCTAAATTCAGGTCAAAATTAGTTACCAGTAGTGTTTGTAAAGGTATTTTGTTCACTGCGCTGACAGTTGACCTTTCCACTAAGCCCCACCCCTTGGATATTGTTGCCAAGGTCCCAACGACTCTGAAAAAGCATGTGCAAACACATGTGTTTGTGAGGCATCCGTGTATTTCTGGCTTTTTGAGTGGTCCTAAAAGGGCCATTATAA